CCTGGCCCGTTCAATAACAGGTCCAGATGCAACCAAATACCGGTATCCACCGTACCCCTTTTACAACCCATGAGGTTGTCCACCTGAGAAAGAGGCACGTGCAAGGGGGACCCCCCAAGGAAGAGGGTGATCACAAATTGTTTCAGGACAGCCCTCTTTTACAGCGCTTAGATTGTGTCCCAGTCTGGACGTGCATGAGCCGCCAACAATGTGAGCCTACGCCTATGCGAGGTCTCAAGGTCTATCTCAGCCAATGCTGCGACAGCGTCTGAGATGTATATGCGGGCCGTCTTAGGGCTATTCCAGCGACCAACATGGCACACTTGCGACAGGTTGCCGGTCATCCGAAACATGTGCGTGGCCCCGCCCCTTCGGCAAGAGTACCACTGAAAATTCCCAGCCAGATTGGCATCCTCTGTGAGGACTTTCAAACGGTTCCGTTGAGTCTGGCCAGACACTCTAGTGAGCTTATCTCCAGGCGACAAATGCTCAAGGTATGATCGCAAAAGGGAGACAACCCAGCGGTCACGAACGACCAAGGACTCTTTCGCGCCCGTGCGCTGGCCTGACTTAGTTAAAGGCAGGCTCCACACTGCAGATCTTTTATGGTCAAACACAAAGTCACCTTTCAAAGCGGAGAAGAGCTCAGCAGACCGTGGGAACATGCAAAAACCGACAATCAACAACACAGCAGTGTCATTCCAATGACGCCGATGCGCCAGTTCAGCCAAGGAGTACACCAGCAGGGGTGTGAATGGAGCCGCACGTAACGGCAGCTCCGCTCGGCCCCACGCGGCGTGCAAACGCCATGCACCCACCAGCCATGGTTTACAAGGTGGGATGAAATGTCCAAGTCCTGACAGGCAATCTGAGGCCCATCCTTTGGGGTCGCCGGACTCCCACAATGATTCAACATACCTGCATACCAAGTTGTCTAATTCAATAAATCCCGAAGGATAACTCACACCCAACGCGATCAAAAAGTCTATGAATTTATAAACATGCAACCTGTACCGTGCTAAAGTCTTTGGGGCAACCACCTGTTCAGCCAACTTTCCCAATCTGGCTCTCCTCGCCTTTCTTGCTGCCTGCGACGCCTTTTGTCGCAAGTCCGGCATTGGTCTCTAAGCTCTGCCGCGCCACCGGCTTGGGCCATCCGCTGGATTCAGCGCGGATTGGACCCAGCCCAACACCAAGGTCATTCCAGTGGCAAGCAGCACGGCGGCGAGTCGCGTCAAAGGTCCCTGCATTCGAGCACTCGAAGTTCGACCTCGCGCGATGATTGAGAGCACTGACTGGTTATCCACTAGCAGCAACCGCCGCTTGTCATGGTCCTCCTTCTTTCGGGCCAGCTTTCGGCACAAGTCGAGGACGGCTGCAAGCTCTAGGGCATTTATGTGTCCAGTTTCCTTCCACTTATAGCTCAGGAAGACCTTCCAAATCCAAGCTGAAGGATCAACGGGCCTGCGCGCAAAAAGATGCGGCGCATATGGGAGGCCAGCTTCGAATCGCACATCCGACCCTCTGTGATCGATGATCCGGCAGTATTGCAGGATCAAAAACTGTTCATTTGTCAGCCTGCTCCCTTGGCGGTCTTCCTGACGAGGTAGTTGCTGCTTTTGCCCAATTAGATCTCGCACGGTTTTGGCCCCTTCCCAGGTCCCAGCAGTTGCTCCAAAGCGTTCGGTCCACCCAGTGGCTTTCTGGCTTTGCAGTGCCACCTCCTCGTGTGCATCCCATGCTTTCCAAAGGAGCTCCACGTAGTTTTGCTGCTGGTCAGGAGGGGATGGTGTGATCAATCCCATTAACAAGCGGCCCACCACAATGACAGGGAAACTGTTTCCTGTGAAGCCACCCACTTCATCCTCAGTGGGCTTTGGCTTCATGTTCCGAAAGTGCCCTGAGTTGTATCCCAGCATCCTCGCCTGCTCCATGGCCTTTAGCCGACGAGGACCACCTTTGTCCTTTACAAGGCATGCATCTTCATACGCATAGGGAGGAAGTCGGTACGCATCGCCTTTCCACCGACGAAGGGCTTTTTCAGAAGCCTGTTCAAGGCCTGCAGGCGACGGTGGAGGCTGCTCCCGTTTGATCGGCCGAGTGAAACATGGGAAGGGGTCATCGGTGTCGCAAAGCCGTGCGGTGGCAGGCTCCACGAATTTCCAAAGGGCAGGCCAACATGCTTCAAAGTGCACTTCTGCATGGGCATCCTCCTCACCAACGCTCTTTTCTTCTATGGTGAGGTCTTTCCCTGATATCAGTGCCAAGCCTCTTAGCCAGAATTGCCTCGGACGACGCGTCCACCCAACTTCATGCGCCCACGTCTTCAAAGGCCTCATTTGCATCTTCGCTCCGACAATCCGCGCGTCAGCGGCATCAAAGAAAACGTTCTCGTATAGTTCAATCACACTCCATGGCCGTTCATTTGGGAGCTCACCTGCTTCTTTCAGCCATCCCGCAATCTGCAGCATGTCATCAAGCAGCCTCCCCATTTCGCTGTCTGCACCTTCGCGCTGGCTCTTCAAGCGGCTTTGCTCAACGCATGGCCAGCCCCC